GAGGCGCAGAGTGGTGGAGGCGCAGAGTGGTGGAGGCGCAGAGTGGTGGAGGCGCAGAGTGGTGGAGGCGCAGAGTGGTGGAGGCGCAGAGTGGTGGAGGCGCAGAGTGGTGGAGGCGCAGAGTGGTGGAGGCGCAGAGTGGTGGAGGCGCAGAGTGGTGGAGGCGCAGAGTGGTGGAGGCGCAGAGTGGTGGAGGCGCAGAGTGGTGGAGGCGCAGAGTGGTGGAGGCGCAGAGTGGTGGAGGCGCAGAGTGGTGGAGGCGCAGAGTGGTGGAGGCGCAGAGTGGTGGAGGCGCAGAGTGGTGGAGGCGCAGAGTGGTGGAGGCGCAGAGTGGTGGAGGCGCAGAGTGGTGGAGGCGCAGAGTGGTGGAGGCGCAGAGTGGTGGAGGCGCAGAGTGGTGGAGGCGCAGAGTGGTGGAGGCGCAGAGTGGTGGAGGCGCAGAGTGGTGGAGGCGCAGAGTGGTGGAGGCGCAGAGTGGTGGAGGCGCAGAGTGGTGGAGGCGCAGAGTGGTGGAGGCGCAGAGTGGTGGAGGCGCAGAGTGGTGGAGGCGCAGAGTGGTGGAGGCGCAGAGTGGTGGAGGCGCAGAGTGGTGGAGGCGCAGAGTGGTGGAGGCGCAGAGTGGTGGAGGCGCAGAGTGGTGGAGGCGCAGAGTGGTGGAGGCGCAGAGTGGTGGAGGCGCAGAGTGGTGGAGGCGCAGAGTGGTGGAGGCGCAGAGTGGTGGAGGCGCAGAGTGGTGGAGGCGCAGAGTGGTGGAGGCGCAGAGTGGTGGAGGCGCAGAGTGGTGGAGGCGCAGAGTGGTGGAGGCGCAGAGTGGTGGAGGCGCAGAGTGGTGGAGGCGCAGAGTGGTGGAGGCGCAGAGTGGTGGAGGCGCAGAGTGGTGGAGGCGCAGAGTGGTGGAGGCGCAGAGTGGTGGAGGCGCAGAGTGGTGGAGGCGCAGAGTGGTGGAGGCGCAGAGTGGTGGAGGCGCAGAGTGGTGGAGGCGCAGAGTGGTGGAGGCGCAGAGTGGTGGAGGCGCAGAGTGGTGGAGGCGCAGAGTGGTGGAGGCGCAGAGTGGTGGAGGCGCAGAGTGGTGGAGGCGCAGAGTGGTGGAGGCGCAGAGTGGTGGAGGCGCAGAGTGGTGGAGGCGCAGAGTGGTGGAGGCGCAGAGTGGTGGAGGCGCAGAGTGGTGGAGGCGCAGAGTGGTGGAGGCGCAGAGTGGTGGAGGCGCAGAGTGGTGGAGGCGCAGAGTGGTGGAGGCGCAGAGTGGTGGAGGCGCAGAGTGGTGGAGGCGCAGAGTGGTGGAGGCGCAGAGTGGTGGAGGCGCAGAGTGGTGGAGGCGCAGAGTGGTGGAGGCGCAGAGTGGTGGAGGCGCAGAGTGGTGGAGGCGCAGAGTGGTGGAGGCGCAGAGTGGTGGAGGCGCAGAGTGGTGGAGGCGCAGAGTGGTGGAGGCGCAGAGTGGTGGAGGCGCAGAGTGGTGGAGGCGCAGAGTGGTGGAGGCGCAGAGTGGTGGAGGCGCAGAGTGGTGGAGGCGCAGAGTGGTGGAGGCGCAGAGTGGTGGAGGCGCAGAGTGGTGGAGGCGCAGAGTGGTGGAGGCGCAGAGTGGTGGAGGCGCAGAGTGGTGGAGGCGCAGAGTGGTGGAGGCGCAGAGTGGTGGAGGCGCAGAGTGGTGGAGGCGCAGAGTGGTGGAGGCGCAGAGTGGTGGAGGCGCAGAGTGGTGGAGGCGCAGAGTGGTGGAGGCGCAGAGTGGTGGAGGCGCAGAGTGGTGGAGGCGCAGAGTGGTGGAGGCGCAGAGTGGTGGAGGCGCAGAGTGGTGGAGGCGCAGAGTGGTGGAGGCGCAGAGTGGTGGAGGCGCAGAGTGGTGGAGGCGCAGAGTGGTGGAGGCGCAGAGTGGTGGAGGCGCAGAGTGGTGGAGGCGCAGAGTGGTGGAGGCGCAGAGTGGTGGAGGCGCAGAGTGGTGGAGGCGCAGAGTGGTGGAGGCGCAGAGTGGTGGAGGCGCAGAGTGGTGGAGGCGCAGAGTGGTGGAGGCGCAGAGTGGTGGAGGCGCAGAGTGGTGGAGGCGCAGAGTGGTGGAGGCGCAGAGTGGTGGAGGCGCAGAGTGGTGGAGGCGCAGAGTGGTGGAGGCGCAGAGTGGTGGAGGCGCAGAGTGGTGGAGGCGCAGAGTGGTGGAGGCGCAGAGTGGTGGAGGCGCAGAGTGGTGGAGGCGCAGAGTGGTGGAGGCGCAGAGTGGTGGAGGCGCAGAGTGGTGGAGGCGCAGAGTGGTGGAGGCGCAGAGTGGTGGAGGCGCAGAGTGGTGGAGGCGCAGAGTGGTGGAGGCGCAGAGTGGTGGAGGCGCAGAGTGGTGGAGGCGCAGAGTGGTGGAGGCGCAGAGTGGTGGAGGCGCAGAGTGGTGGAGGCGCAGAGTGGTGGAGGCGCAGAGTGGTGGAGGCGCAGAGTGGTGGAGGCGCAGAGTGGTGGAGGCGCAGAGTGGTGGAGGCGCAGAGTGGTGGAGGCGCAGAGTGGTGGAGGCGCAGAGTGGTGGAGGCGCAGAGTGGTGGAGGCGCAGAGTGGTGGAGGCGCAGAGTGGTGGAGGCGCAGAGTGGTGGAGGCGCAGAGTGGTGGAGGCGCAGAGTGGTGGAGGCGCAGAGTGGTGGAGGCGCAGAGTGGTGGAGGCGCAGAGTGGTGGAGGCGCAGAGTGGTGGAGGCGCAGAGTGGTGGAGGCGCAGAGTGGTGGAGGCGCAGAGTGGTGGAGGCGCAGAGTGGTGGAGGCGCAGAGTGGTGGAGGCGCAGAGTGGTGGAGGCGCAGAGTGGTGGAGGCGCAGAGTGGTGGAGGCGCAGAGTGGTGGAGGCGCAGAGTGGTGGAGGCGCAGAGTGGTGGAGGCGCAGAGTGGTGGAGGCGCAGAGTGGTGGAGGCGCAGAGTGGTGGAGGCGCAGAGTGGTGGAGGCGCAGAGTGGTGGAGGCGCAGAGTGGTGGAGGCGCAGAGTGGTGGAGGCGCAGAGTGGTGGAGGCGCAGAGTGGTGGAGGCGCAGAGTGGTGGAGGCGCAGAGTGGTGGAGGCGCAGAGTGGTGGAGGCGCAGAGTGGTGGAGGCGCAGAGTGGTGGAGGCGCAGAGTGGTGGAGGCGCAGAGTGGTGGAGGCGCAGAGTGGTGGAGGCGCAGAGTGGTGGAGGCGCAGAGTGGTGGAGGCGCAGAGTGGTGGAGGCGCAGAGTGGTGGAGGCGCAGAGTGGTGGAGGCGCAGAGTGGTGGAGGCGCAGAGTGGTGGAGGCGCAGAGTGGTGGAGGCGCAGAGTGGTGGAGGCGCAGAGTGGTGGAGGCGCAGAGTGGTGGAGGCGCAGAGTGGTGGAGGCGCAGAGTGGTGGAGGCGCAGAGTGGTGGAGGCGCAGAGTGGTGGAGGCGCAGAGTGGTGGAGGCGCAGAGTGGTGGAGGCGCAGAGTGGTGGAGGCGCAGAGTGGTGGAGGCGCAGAGTGGTGGAGGCGCAGAGTGGTGGAGGCGCAGAGTGGTGGAGGCGCAGAGTGGTGGAGGCGCAGAGTGGTGGAGGCGCAGAGTGGTGGAGGCGCAGAGTGGTGGAGGCGCAGAGTGGTGGAGGCGCAGAGTGGTGGAGGCGCAGAGTGGTGGAGGCGCAGAGTGGTGGAGGCGCAGAGTGGTGGAGGCGCAGAGTGGTGGAGGCGCAGAGTGGTGGAGGCGCAGAGTGGTGGAGGCGCAGAGTGGTGGAGGCGCAGAGTGGTGGAGGCGCAGAGTGGTGGAGGCGCAGAGTGGTGGAGGCGCAGAGTGGTGGAGGCGCAGAGTGGTGGAGGCGCAGAGTGGTGGAGGCGCAGAGTGGTGGAGGCGCAGAGTGGTGGAGGCGCAGAGTGGTGGAGGCGCAGAGTGGTGGAGGCGCAGAGTGGTGGAGGCGCAGAGTGGTGGAGGCGCAGAGTGGTGGAGGCGCAGAGTGGTGGAGGCGCAGAGTGGTGGAGGCGCAGAGTGGTGGAGGCGCAGAGTGGTGGAGGCGCAGAGTGGTGGAGGCGCAGAGTGGTGGAGGCGCAGAGTGGTGGAGGCGCAGAGTGGTGGAGGCGCAGAGTGGTGGAGGCGCAGAGTGGTGGAGGCGCAGAGTGGTGGAGGCGCAGAGTGGTGGAGGCGCAGAGTGGTGGAGGCGCAGAGTGGTGGAGGCGCAGAGTGGTGGAGGCGCAGAGTGGTGGAGGCGCAGAGTGGTGGAGGCGCAGAGTGGTGGAGGCGCAGAGTGGTGGAGGCGCAGAGTGGTGGAGGCGCAGAGTGGTGGAGGCGCAGAGTGGTGGAGGCGCAGAGTGGTGGAGGCGCAGAGTGGTGGAGGCGCAGAGTGGTGGAGGCGCAGAGTGGTGGAGGCGCAGAGTGGTGGAGGCGCAGAGTGGTGGAGGCGCAGAGTGGTGGAGGCGCAGAGTGGTGGAGGCGCAGAGTGGTGGAGGCGCAGAGTGGTGGAGGCGCAGAGTGGTGGAGGCGCAGAGTGGTGGAGGCGCAGAGTGGTGGAGGCGCAGAGTGGTGGAGGCGCAGAGTGGTGGAGGCGCAGAGTGGTGGAGGCGCAGAGTGGTGGAGGCGCAGAGTGGTGGAGGCGCAGAGTGGTGGAGGCGCAGAGTGGTGGAGGCGCAGAGTGGTGGAGGCGCAGAGTGGTGGAGGCGCAGAGTGGTGGAGGCGCAGAGTGGTGGAGGCGCAGAGTGGTGGAGGCGCAGAGTGGTGGAGGCGCAGAGTGGTGGAGGCGCAGAGTGGTGGAGGCGCAGAGTGGTGGAGGCGCAGAGTGGTGGAGGCGCAGAGTGGTGGAGGCGCAGAGTGGTGGAGGCGCAGAGTGGTGGAGGCGCAGAGTGGTGGAGGCGCAGAGTGGTGGAGGCGCAGAGTGGTGGAGGCGCAGAGTGGTGGAGGCGCAGAGTGGTGGAGGCGCAGAGTGGTGGAGGCGCAGAGTGGTGGAGGCGCAGAGTCCATAGATGGGCTCCTTTAAGAAAAATTTTGATAGGCGTCCTTGTTCATAGTTTCCGAGGGAGGGTCAGGGTCAGGGGAAGACATGTTTTCCCGCTTGTTCATTCTCCCTTTCTTCTCCTCCAGGCGAGTTATGGTAGCCTTCCAAAGCTTCGTCTGTCCTTGGGATGTTCACACATGTACGTTCTTCTTCGTATGTCTCTAGAATGCGCTTATGGTTTTGTCAGAGATTAAAGAAATCCTAAGTAGCGTCATGCACAGATGTCTTGAGAGGTAGGAGAGTTATGTGTGGCAGGGAGAGGGCGAGAATATCTGGTCCCCAGAGTCTGTTCTGGTCCCCAGAGTCCCAACGGTGAATGGTGGAAGGCATTTTGAAATCCTTGCAAGTCGTTCTTGTTGTCAATTGCCACATAAATTAAGGCCATGCAAGTGCCTTCTACTGTTTCCTCTTCCCTTTCATTTGTTGTCCGCTCAATAGCGAATATTACAGATTTGGTGAAATGCCTTAAAACAACTTTACGGTTTAAATAACAACTTTTTTTTTCCCCCTCTTTCTAGGTCTGCCAGTAGCTGACAAAGTAGTAAGGTGTGCTTTTCTCTTTCATTCTTGTGTAGAGTTAGAGGCAATGGCAATGCAATCCGTGACTGAGGCTCTGCAATGGGGCAAGTCTATCCTACTGCTTCAAGTTCAGTGATGCAACCTGAGTTTACGCTACTTAACTTTCAGGGACTGAACCAATTTAACGCTTTTGGACTCTGACAATTATCTGAAAACGTTTCCACAGGTTTATTTTCTTCTTTTACGTTTGTTTGCTATCTCCATCTCATTCAAAGCAGTCAGGACTGCTTTGCTTCTCTCTCCTCTGGAAAAGTTCTCTGCACTAGGAACCATGGTTAGAATCAGAATCCTGATCTAAGAGTATGGTGGAAAGTGTTGCGCTCCAAGTTGGAAACCGAAGAGGAAAATGTTCACGTATACGTAAGGATTGTACGCAAACATCTGATTACACCGTTTCCTACACCTTAACAGCTGCTTACACCTTTTAAGGGAAAACTTTATAAAGCTATATAGTTTATAAAAACTTTATAAAACTATATGGGTAGTTTCTACGTTTCCCTTAAGCATAGCGTACTCTTTTGTATTTTGCTTCTATACAAACAGCTCAAACTTTTAAAGTCCCATTGTCACTCATACAACCAAACGACCTTGCATGGCATTACATGTTCCCCTCCACATAGATCAAGCCCTGAATGCAAGATCAGTCAAGTAAATAATGCCAACGCGTAAAACTAATTTGAAAAAATTCTTTGTGGTCACCTGAAGGAGTTGCAGCATAAAAAAATTAGGTGAAGGACAAGTTCCTTCCCTGTTGTTGTTGTCTTTGTTTTCTTTTCCATACGCTCTTAAAATGAAGGTCCCATTTTCTGGCCTTTGGCAGATTGCAAGCATGCTGGAACACTTCACTTAATGTAGACCATAGTTGTCCGAAATGATATCATACCTGTAGCAGGCGGAAAAGTAGCCTGTGCCTCAGGGACCGTTTTATGCCTTTTGCTTAGATAGAGTTAATTTTCCTCCTAGGAGCTGGTAGGGTGCTATGTTGTGGATTAGGATGAAAAGAGCGTTGATACCACGCTGATGTTTGAATTGTTGCAGAGCAGTGCTTGCACCAAGCCAAGGACTTTTCCAGCTTCTCGCTCTGTCCTGCCAGTGGGCACGCTGGGGGTGCAGCAGGAGCTGGGAGGGGACAGACCCAGGACAGCTGACCCAAACTGGCCAAAGGGTTATTCCATACCCTCTGATGTCATGCTAAACAATAGGTAGGGGTGGCTAGCCGGGATGGTGGGGGGGCCGTCTGCTCGGGGATAGGCTGGGCATGGGTCAGCGGGTGGTGAGCAATTGCATTGTGCATCATGTATTCCCTACACAGTAGTAGTAGCAGTACTATTCTCACTGTTATTATTATTTTTTTCCTGTCTAGATTTTGAGAAGTTCTGCATAAAGAAGAGATCTCAGAGAAGCAAATTTAAATAACAATAATGTCAAGAAGAGTCGTTCTGATGGCTATATTCTTGATCTGTCGTGACTAGACAGATGAAAATCTATGACGGCAATTTTGCCTTTTAGGTCATTTTCTTTTTTCTTTTATGTCTTTCTTTTATTTAGGTTTGTTAATCTTATTTCAACAGGCTCTGTACTAATTTTCCTCACAGAATGACTAGCAGAAATAGGACCCTTAAGTGCCTTTTGTAATTAATTCATTAGGGCAACTCTAACCACTGAGCCCCTTGTCAGGTGATTTCTATTAGCGATAAGGAGCAATTGAACCTAAAACACTGAAGCCAGGTTGATGAGCCTATTCCACAAGGTCTCTTGGCTCCACACATGTGAAGTGACATCTGCCAGGTGGGGATCATTTGACCTTTGCTATAAAGGAAGCATGAGGAGATATGGGAAGAATTGCCACTGCAGAGGAGGTTGAGGTTCAGGTTACTTAGGGTGCTGTTCTACTGTCCTGGTGAAATAGACTCAGTGTTCTGGAGTAGGCTGCTTTTTCCTCATGTTTTCTATCATCTCTGTGAACGAGCTTTGGAGACTCTATGAGCTAGTTACGTTGGTGGTGACATCTCAGAACAGGAAAACCCTGGTGGCACTACTTCCCCGTGAAGTGGTTTGGCAGTAACTCAAGTTCAGGATCTGGCAGGTAAGCGTCCCTGGGTTCTACGGTGGTTTTCTGTTGGGGAGCTGAGGACTTCCTTCACCTTGTTTTTTTCAGTGAAGTTCCATACATGGATTCTCAGCTGGTCCCATTCTCAACGGGAATCCCTTCTTAGCATGGTCCCGGCATCCGATTCCTGAAGGTGGTTACGTGAGTGTCAGATAAAAGCTTTTCCAGGAAAGCAAGATGGTAAAAGCTCACTGTTGGGCCCCTGATAAGCGTGGAAGGGGGGAGGCTCTGCCTGGGGCATGGAGCCTTTCCTAAGCCTTGGCTCACCTGCCACCCCCTGACAGAGCGGACAGCCTAGCATTAGCATGACCAAGGGCCACCCCACCAGGCACCCATCCTCCTGCAGACCTTCTGGCTCCCTCAGCACCATGCATCCTTTTTAAACTTCATATAAGACACCTTTTTGTCCTGTAAATAAATTAAGCTTGGCTTGGTTATTTAATAAGCACCCCCTGTTGCATGTGCAGCGTGCTTGAGTCAGTCCAGGGAAGGCTTGGGACAGTCCTGGTACTGGGCTCATTATTTTCTATTTGCTGATCGTAGGTTTTGTTACCCAGGATATCCTGGGGATATAGCCCACCTTGATACAGACGCATGGGGTTTTCTCTTCTAGGTAGTTTTTTCCCTGCTCCAGCTGTGTAGAAAGCCTTGTCAAGTGCTCCAGCTTCATTTTAATTTATGTGTTTGTTTTAAAAAGCTGTGTACAGAAATTACACTCACTACCTAGAACAGGATATTAATTACCTTATGTCGTCTTTGTTGGATTTTAAGCCATCACTTACAGAGCAGGCAGACATTAGAAAAATGTGTGTACACTAAAATGCCAGAAGAAGCAGTGTATGAAGGAGAAATTTAGTTTTATTTATTGTTTATGTTAGCAGGTAATTCTTCCTGACTTTGCAATTAACTTTCAGCGATAAGCCAAGGAAATCGTCTAAAAAGCTCTGCAGGGGAATAATGATTAGTAAATCCCATCTAAGGAGATTTTAATAGAAATAATACAAAATCATATTTAAAATGATCCCTCAAGGACAAGACAAAGCACAGGGAACACACACACCTTCCCCCCCCCGCCCCCAGATTACTTGATTTCAAGGAACATCGGATTATGTCTTTAAAACGCCTCTTCCATCTGTTTTCTAGTGTATGATGTTTCATCTGTTGCTTTGAAAAGTACCAGGTTGCCCCAGTAAGATTTTAATCAGTGGAAAAAATGTAGCTGTTTGCCTGTTGGTTCCTTTCCAAACAGGAGGACTTCCAAATTAACTCTGGCATCCTTCACAGTTTGAAACACCCTCATGTGGTGTACATGAAGTAGTGAATAGCTTGCTATTGTCAAACAGATGACTCACAGATGCCAGGGCTTGGCAAAGAGAAACATGCAAACAAAGGCGAGAGAGAAGCAGATACGATATTGATATGAGCTGACACCGAGAGTACAAATGGCAGAAAAAGTGAGAGAAGTCAAGGTTAAAAAATATGTATTATTTGATAGCTATCTAAGTGTTTGAAGAGATCTGAGGAAATATAGAAAGTGCAGTTGTAGTCACAGCGTTTTTCTGACTTGATGTAAAATGGGAAATGAACACCGTTATTTGGTCTACCGCACTTGAAGAAGTGATATTTTCAGTGCAGTAATGTCTGCAGAGCTTTGAGATTGAGTGTCTGATGGTTTTAAATGTTAAATAATTCCATTAGAGTCAGGGTAAAAATGGTAATGAACAGCTTGGAAGAGTCTGAGTATACTGACATGAAATGTTGAGCAATTAGCTTCTCTCTGTGCAAGTGAATCCTGCAGTTCTCTTCTCATCAGTAGTAAAGTGACCTTTAAAATATGCAGATGACACAGAAGCTGTTTCAATAACTATTTTGATCTATTGTCTGCTGATAAATTGCGTGTAAGGATTTGGAATTTACATGGCACAGTAGATTTGGGACTAAAACGGAAGATTTTGAAAAACCTTAACTGGGAGCTTTTTAATAGCAGCAGTGCATCCTGTTGAATTATGAGACGTGTTATTCCACGTAGGAAAGAGAATGAGGCTAAGGTTACTGCAGCACTTGATATCATCAACTTGTTATCTGTTGCTTTAAGGCAATTTGAAAAGTTCATTGTTATGCTTTTGTGTTCTGTGTACAGCAACCCAAGAGCCACATGTTAAAATTGCAATAAAAGACATTTGTGTGTTTGAAATTAGCTAACAGCAAAAAACATATGCTTTTTAGTGCTTAAGGAGCATCAGCCTGATCTGCACAGCTAATCTTTTTTTCTAGGTATTTGAAAATGGGAGGGTTAGGGCTGTGGGAATGGGATTTGAGCTGCTAGATTGCCTGGGCTGTCTGTGACATTGGATTGTGCTCTGCACTGAAGCACAAGGGAAATGATGAGCCTGTTCATCTATATAATGCATAAATCTATATAATGCATAAGTATGGTTGTACAATCAGTGGGGAAAATGGAGAGTAAAGCTTTAGCTACACCATCCTCACTGATCACTGAATGCGATTCATATGTGAATATGCCAGGAATGTGGAGAAATGCAACTTCATACTGATATTGATACAGAATTAAAAAACGTAGATAATGTTTTTCTTGTCTGCTTAGGCATTCATTTCTATAGTCACTTAAACATATGCTTGAAGTGGAGTTTTTGAAGAGTCTCAGGTGATCAGACCCTAGATAATTTGGGGGCTTAGTTTGTGGGGAAAAAACGTATATATAAATTTAAATTTCTTCCATCTCTTTATTAAGGTACATCATTGTAGGGTTTGGAACTGATTACAGCAAAAAGAAAAAAAAAAAGGAATTTTTTGGAGATAGAAAGAAACTGAGGTTTTGGGGAAGGGACCATGCAATTTAATGCTCTTCATCTCTAGACGAGCATGAGAATGATTTTTGAACCATAAGAAAATTCTTCTAGCACTTATTGCCAGGAAGTATCTGTGCATCACATCTGATTCTTACAGCTGAAGTTTCACCCTGCAGAGCTGAATGGATGCATCCCCTTCCTGCACCACTCTGGTTGCAAGCTGCTGCTGTCCAGCACAGTCTAAATGTCTTTTGCAGTTTGGAGGTCTAGAAACCAATCCTAACCATGAGATCTAGGGAGCACTCATGCTGCATGTCACAGTGTGGAGGTGCCGAAATGGGCTGAGAACAAATGAGGTCACTGGGCAGTGGCAGCACCAAAGTACTGATCTTATCACATTCTCCTGCACTATTAAAGCTTTGTGGCAAAGGGCCAGAGCATTTTGGGAGGCAGTCCAGAGGGCAGATTGGAGACTCTCTCTCCCCTTCCCCCTTTTCTAGCTGATCTTATGGCTAAGGACTCCCAAGAGCTGCTCTTGCAGTGGAGGTTAAAGCACAAGGCAGTGCCAGTGAGAATCCTTTTCCCTACCTGTTCCTCTCCAGGCTCTGCTGTCTGTCATACACACCCCATCCTCATCACATCATCTGCAGGGTGGGAAATGCAGGGTGGGGCCTGGAAGAACATGAAGGGTGCCATATCAGCAGTCGGCCCTAATCATTTCAGGTCTAGATGACAGCTTCTGTTTTTATGGCTTTACTAACCACAGTGAAGTACTGCCCCAAGGTGGGGAGAGGTGTCCTGTAGAGCATACCAGCCATGGTGAAGTGGCTGCCCCTGTGCCACAGAACTTCCCCATCCTGAAAGACAAAGCTGCAAAACAGCCATGGTTGCCAAATGTGTTTAAGGAATTCACACATGCTGGTTTGCCGGGAGGTCCCAAGCTGTGATGGTGGGAACATGAGAAACAGAGTGCATTACAGCAAAGCAGGGACTCAGAGAGAACAGACTTGCACAGATACAGACCATAAGTGTAACTAATGGAAAATGCTGAAGCTCCCAAACAGCAATCCCTTCAGTTCAAAATATGAACTTCATTATGAGACAAAATGTCTCTGACCCAAAAACTATCTATATTTGAATAGTGTGGCTTGTTCTTTCCCACATCAGAGGCGAGTACACTAGATGGTCTTAACTGGAAGTGATAGCTGACCTGCAAGACAGGTGAATGCATGGCAAGCCCACTGTTGATGTTCCTTCAGATAACCAGTATACTATACTATAACTAGTATATAACTAGTGATAGAACTAGGGGAAATGGCCTCAAGTTTACCAGAGGAGGTTCAGGTTGGAAATTAGGAGACGTTTCTTCTCAGAAAGAGCAGTCAGGCATTGGGATGGGTTGCACCGGGAGGTGGTGGAGTCACCATCCCTGGGGGTGTTTAAGGAGAGATTGGACATGGTGCTTAGGGACATGGGTTAGTGGGTGACATTGGTGGTAGGGAGATGGTTGGACCAGATGATCTTGGAGGTCTCTTCCAACCTTACTGATTTTGCGATTCTATGATTCTTGTGTTTGAGGAGTCCCAGGACAGGAATGCTTTGAGAAAACCCATTACTGAAATTGCCCTATTTTAAAGATTGATAAATGTCAAAGCTCTAAAAGCAAAATGCCTTTGTTTCCTCAAAAAATAAAAATGCAGATTTATGAAAATATGTAGATTCCAGTTGTGTTATGTGAAAATACATACTTAAAAGTATTTACAGATACATTAATTTCATATATACATAACATACTTGGTTTAATTAGCAGTTGCACCACCTGTTAATGAAAGCATTCTATGAATAACCAGTGAACTTTTTCAGCCAAATAAGAAATTCCTAATCTTTATAAAAAGTACAGACAAAAGACTTGTGAAATGCATACCCTTGGTATTCAGCCTTTAGTCATTTGACAGTGAACAAGTATCTTTTAGAGCATGAATTGTTTTTCACTGGCATATGATGGAGTAGACTTCAGTGCTGTATATACCTAGTCATCTCTATGCCCTGAGCGAATAGTATGGAAATAATACGTTTGCAGATATTTATAAGAAGTAGTTACAAAGAGAATTTGCTCACAAAATGTTATCCTTCAAAGATGCGTAATAATGCTATGGAGAAAAAAATTATCTCTGAGGATCCATCTCATGTAGCAAAGCAAACACAGAAATTGTTGTGGACAAAATGCTTCACCTGACAGCTGAAAGAAATGTCTGGAAGACTGTGCACACACGAGGCTGCCAGGGGAGTAGAACAGCTGAGGGAGCGGCTGAAGGGAAGGAGGCTGCTGCATCCTACTGCCTAGATGTGCTCCTGCAGCCTTGACTCCTGCCAGGCACAGTAAGTGCATTGCTCCAGCTAATACTTTTATTAACCAGCGGACATGGTAAAAACATCACTAGCCCTCTGTGTTGGGTGTAGCTTTTCTGGTGCTACAGCAGAGTGGCTATCCAAATTCAGGCTCATGGCCTTTTCCTCATATAGGTAGGGTAGCCACGTGTGAGTGCACACTAAGCAGGTGAGCAGGCACACGGCAGTGTATCACCGCGGTGTGGTTACAGAAAGCCTTGGGTATCTGCAAAACTTCACAGCTGGTGTGATCAACACAGAAAGGCGAGCCAGCTGGCTCAGAGGAGTTGAAATTTCATGTGGCTGCCAACATGGAACCCCCATGTGGTGCCGCCTGCGGCAAGATGACATTCAGACCTCAGCTGACACGACACGATCTCCAGTCCCAGGTTGCACCGTTAATCCCCCCCGTCCTCTGACATGGGCAAGCACTGTGCTGGTTTCACTGGCTTGGTGGTGCAGAAAGAGAAGAAAAGCAATAGTGACAGTGATTTCACTGGGTTTGCTCAGCCCATAGCAGGCTGAGGGGAGGCCTCATGGTGACCCGCAGCTCCCTCACGAGGGGAGCGGAGGGGCAGGCGCTGAGCTCTGCTCTCTGGGGACAGCGACAGGACCCGAGGGCACGGCATGGAGCTGGGACAGGGGAGGGTCGGGCTGGGGGTTAGGGAAAGGGTCTGCACCCAGAGGGTGGTCGGGCACTGGGACAGGCTGCCCAGGGCAGTGGTCACAGCACTGAGCCTGAGGGAGTCCAAGAGGGGTTTGGACAGTGCTCTCAGACACGGGGTCTGATTTTTGGGTGGTCCTGCGTGGAGCCAGGAGTTGGGCTCGGCGGTCCTTGTGGGTCCCTGCCAGCCCAGGGCAGTCCGTGCGGCCGGCGCGCTGCGGGAAGCACTCCCGGGGCCGTGTCCCCGGCCGGCACGGGTTAACTTTCACTCCCCACATCCTAGCACAACCCCGCTCCGTGCCGTGCCGCTCCGCTCCGAGCTGTGCCGTGCCGGGGCGGGGCGGGCTGCGGGCGGCCAATGGCCGGCTCGGGGCGGCTGTGACGGCGAGTGCCGGGCCGTGCCGGGCCGTGCCGGGCCGCACCTGTTACATAAGGGGCCCGGCGGCCGCTCCGCGCCCCGTCCCTGGCCGCCCCTCGCCGCTGCGGCCCGGCCGGGCCGGGGGCTGCCGGGCGGCGCTTCGGGGCGGCAGCGGCCGGGGATGAGCCCGGCGGCCGGCAAGGAGGGCGCCCGGCGGCGGCGGAGGCGCCGGGCGGCTGCGCCGGGAGCCATGGCGGAGAGCAACGCGGACTGGATGGGCTCGCTGCCGGCGGCGCTGCGCACCTGCCCGCTCTCCAACCTGGCCATCCCAGGTCGGGCTGGGATGGGACGGGGACGGGGACGGGGGGGACCGGTTGTGGTTTCGCGGTTCCCTGGCGATGGGGCTGCCCGACGGGCTGGGGGGCGCAGGCTGCTCCGTGCCGCCGGGTTGACCTGGCCTCCCGCGGCGGGGTTGACCTGTCCGCCTGGGTGGCCGAGGGTGCTGGGTCTTGCGGCTCTCTGCTGGGTTTTCTTTCTTCCCTGAGGCTCTGCTTTGAGCCTCTCGGCCTTGTGTAAGGGAACGGTGTGGGAAAATGCTGGTTTAATTTTTGTTCACTTAGTACTTGCTCCGTTGGGGAAGGAGATTGCCTAATCTGCTGTCTGGAGTTGTTTTGTCTGCTCCCAAGTAGCTCACAGCTGGTGCTTGCAGGTGTAGTAGGTAAAAACAGAGTAAAAATCTACTAGAACTCCCTACTAGGAACTACCTAGAAACTCACTGGTTCCTTCACGTGTTCACCCAAGTTGTGGAGATTGAGCAGAAGAGGTGGCAGAGTCACCTGCAGCGTTCCCATTGCACCTTAGTGAAGGTTTTGCAGGTATTTGGGCCAAGTCTTTTTGGTGTTGTGCTCTTGCTTCAGGCCTGGCTGAGGTGTTTGCTTGTGCTGGGGATTCTTGTGCTTGTTAGCTTGAGCTGTAATAAACACACAGAAGGCCTGTCTTGAGAAGTTAGTGCCTTGTTTTCTCTGTAGTGCGTTTCCCAAGTGGAATGGGGCAGCTGGTTTTGGGATTAAGTGTGTTAATGCTGAGCATATCCCTGAATAGCCCTTCCATCAGTTAATCCCTAAACTATGACTTGATGCTTTTGCTTCTCTGAACATAATTTTGAATTGTGCATTGCTTGGGAAGCTTTTCTTGGAAGAGTGGAGTACCCATTTATTCAAGAATTATGGAAGACATTTGCCAAGATGCTGTCCAGGTTTGGTTTGATTTCCGAGCACTTATTTTTGAGTTAGGACTAGTATGAACTTATCTGTTGCAAGAAAGGAGGAAGAACTTAGTCTTCTGTAAGAACAGCTATGCATCCCCAACCTGTAGACCTGCTTCTTTTCACTGGCCTTAAAGATAAATAAATAAAAATGAAGTTGGCTGTGACCTTGAGAGGTTCTTTTTAAGGTTTCTCTTAAGGTTTCTTAGGTTGTCAAGCAGAGCTTAAATGCAAGTGACGGGCAATGTTGTTTATATTGAACGTAATAGCTGGAGGTTCTGATGACTAGCATGAAAATGATTCAGGTTATAGTTCATCATATGAAAATGTCTCCTACAGCAGAGCCTGCGTATGGCTTGTCCAAGGAAAAAGAATACAGCATGACCATAAAGTATGCCTATGTATGATGTTACACTGAAGACATTAAAGTGTTGTAATTACTTACATCTGATTTATTTACATCTGAATTACTGATCTGTCCGCTTTGCCAGCTGAACTTAAAATAACTCCTAGTTGCTCCACAGGGCTTATAGTTCAAGAAATTGGCAAATGTCATCAGTTTCAGTTTAGACAGGTCAACTGACAATTGAGAACAACAGATGCTACTGAAGTTACTTAGGAGTATGGCTGAACTCTGGTTGAAGTGGCAAAAAAGAACTGAGTGTTGCTTGTAGATGTCAACAGAGAAAATCTTAGGTGTGACTACTGTAGGTAGTTCGTTCTGGTGTTGGATGTTCGATTCTGTTCATTAGTGGAAGAGGATTGATTTTCATATTAGTGCTTTAACTTGTCAAATGCCTTTAGGTACATTTGTAGAGGGCACGGGAAGATGTTTTCTCAGAAACAGTGACTTTCTCTGCTCCAGTGGAGATAGACAAATGGTATGGAATCATTTAGAGAAAGGGATGTGTTTCTCTTGTTACATGCTGCAGCATCTACTGTATTTTCTTGGACTACAACAGTTCAAAAGGCCTTGTTTTAATAAAATGCAACACCTTTTTCCCACCTGACAGTAGCAAACACACTTTATGTAGCCCGGTACATCTGAACAGTGAGCGGGACAGAAAGGGAGTTCAGTGTTCATATCAAGTTCAGGCTGGTTGCAGATTTTGAAGCTTCTGGCAGTGGGAGTCATCCTCAGTTTGAGTGAATAGTTGAACTTTTTTGTTGCTAGAGCAGCTTAAAGGCTGTGTAACTTTGGTTGCAGAAGGTTAAGTGATGGACAGTAGCAGTGGTTGTACAGTACTGTTTGCATGAAATGTGTAGCAGAGGAAGCAAGAAAATGAGTTACTCCTTCAGTAATACCATGCTTTTTTTTAAAATCAGTAGCTTTCTTTGGAAAACCTTGCAGTGTGGCTTCATTTTTAGTCAAAGTTGGTGCATTTCTATCACTTTTCTGTATAACCTCCTGTAAGCTTTGAGCAGGATGGAGGAGAAGGTATAATGAGTAGATACTTCAGGATTTTTTGATTAATTATAGTTCAGTGATTCTTTTGCTGAAATGTGTTTTTGATGTTGTGTTTGACAAAGCAACCTTTACAGGATCCAAGGTGATGTTACTAGCAGCATGAAAGGGAAGGATTGTACAGAACAGGTTACAGTTCAGCCATCTGTTTATAGATGCTGAATAGCAATGAAGGCCAATGGCATCTTCAAGAGATGTGAAAGGTGGGCTTCAGCACAAATGAGAAGCATGTTCATATGTGCTTAATATCTGCGTGTGCGTCTGACGGACGTGGCCTGCTTTTGTCCATATCTGGATGCAGTTGTTTTTACCACAGAAGTGATGGACTCAGCTGTTTCTGGATTTTCATTTCCTTCCCTCCTTGCAATCCCTTTTTGTATATAGGAGTAGAAATGCAATTCTTCTGAAGGCACTGGAGCTGTTGAAGCCCTAAACATTGCTTTAACTTCAAATAAAGTCAGTTGTGAAAACCCTAAAACAATTGTTTGGTATTTTTACTTTATTACATTCTGCATAAATGCAGTATTTGGAGATAAAGAGTTTTTTTAAGGGATAATGTACAGGATGAGACTCTTCAAAATCAAAGAATTAATCATATACACATAAAAAGAAATTGCATAGATCTGAATCAGCCTATGGCATCAAAACAATACAGTCTAAGTAACTCTCTTGTAGGAAGTTAAGGGTGTCTTGTATAGAGTTCTACTTCTTTATTTGTTGTCTTTGGAGCTGTTGGTTTTAAGAGTAGCTGCCACCTCTGGGAGTCCTTTTCAACATAAATTGATCTGTTTCCCACAGTTGTTGAGTATGTTGTAAAACATGCTACCTGAGGACAGAGAAAGCCATTATATGTTATTTGCCCAATCTGCTAACAAGGAGTGTTTAAGATGTGTATTTTATTATGTCCACCAGTTTGGTGCTTACATGCCGATTTAATTCTGTGCTCAAAACAGAGAAATACTGAAAAATTTGGAGTCTTCTTCCAATGCTTGTGTGTTTGGACTTCTCTGTTTCCTCTGGAAAAAAATTACAGACTAAATTCTAAACCAGCACACTATGATCCAAGAAAAAAAAGATAAGGTTTCATGTGCAGTGTGAGAAGGGAAGAAATCTTCTGCAATGAAAAATTGGCAAGTATCAAATAACTGAAATGTCACCAAATTTTATGTACGCAGTATATTCAACAAAATTACCTGCCTTTAACAAGTTGTGACCGTATGTGAAATTCGAGAGTTTTTTTCTTAATTATATCCAGACTAATTTTCTTTGAATGTAGGTTTAAAAGCAAACACTTTAACATCTTGATGGTGAATGTGACCGTTGGCAGGATGTGTATTATTGTATGTGTATAGTGTTTGTTTAATTTCAAGCTAGTTTGCTTTAAACAAACTTATAAAATAGTGCAAAACCCTGACATTCATTGTTTTGCTTGGTCATCCCTTAATCTGTTCATTTCCTATTCTCTCTCTAAGACATGGGATAAGAGAAAACTACAATACTGTTACTGGTCTGCTTTCTAAGTAAACCAGCTCTTTAAAGAATTTGCTGAGGAAGCCCTACTTGTTTCTTGCTTTTTCTTGCATGGTAGTAATTCACTGCCCTGTGGCATAATTGATTTTGTACAGTTTTGTTTTGACTACGTGACTTTCTAAGCAATTTTTGCACCATCATAACCAACTACTGTTAAGAGTTGGAGAAGTCTGCTACTGATAGATGCAGCACAGCTTTCCAGTTTTATCATGCTTTTACATGAACACCTGTATTAGAACAGGTAAAACACATTTTGTGTGTCCAGATCCACCTTCTGAGACCATGATAAGCTGTTTTCATTAGCAAAGCAATCTAGCTGACGGTAGCAGCATTTGAGTTTTCTCCTCAGTCCAGCCTGTAAGGTTCTGGATAAAGGTGATGAGCAGAGCAGTAGCAATTGTATTTTCCTTTAGGCATTGGTGGTAATGTATTTAATCCTGTCTGGTTTATTCAGTCTTCAAATAATCAAGAGCCATGTCATACCACGTAGACATACTTGTAATTTTTGTTCAAAGTATATTAATGTGGATTAATTGCCCATTCTGGACAAGGTGATTAGCAGTGAGTTTTTTTCCACACAGTTCTGATATTCTATCCCTTATCTTCTAGAGGAAATTTATGGTAGGGATCTACTAGTGTATGTAAGGGTAGGCAAGCCCTTTCTTGCAGGAGCACCAAGAATAATTACGGGGACTGTTTCATTATCTAGCCAAGGCAGCCAAATGCTTCTCTTCTCCCCTGCCTTCATTCTTATGCTCCTTCCATCTCCTTATTAAAAAAAAAAAAAAAAGACCAGGACTGATTTTTGGCGTACTTCCTTCCATTGGTATGTGTTTAGTCAGTGTGAATGAGTGCCTTTAGAAAGCCAGCCTGATGGAAAACTTGTCTGTATTGATGGTGATGATGGTTTGGGGGGATTTTTTGAAGACCTGGTTCCTGCCAGAAAAGCTTTCCAGGACAGCTGCTCCTGTGGTTAGACAAACCCTGAGGCGAGTGCTGGAGCATGCAGCTGTCATGAGGTAATGAGGAGAACCTGATATGTCGTGGTGCTGCAGACACAGGCAGGAAGAGAA